GTGTGTGTTGTTTTGAAAGATTTTGTATCTTACGTCAGCGGTGGCGGGTTCCATCCGCAGTTGCTTATCATTTATTTGAAAATATTCGGCGCCCCCCCCCCCCCATTATATCAGAGCGTATAAAGGAAGGGAGGCGTTACAACCGGTGACAATTGCTAAAACCATGTTGCAGTAATTAGTCGAGATTAAGAAACTCCCCGTTTTATTTTGACGGTCTTTGAATCAGTATTTATTCGAATAGCTGTCCTAACCTTGTAAACAAACCGCTTGTCGCTACATTGTTCTACCGTGAGATATGAGCGGTGAAAATACATTTTTAGCGCGATTAAAAAAACCACTGTTCTGATTGGCTGGAATTCAATGCGCTTAAAATACATTTAAAGCGCAATTTAAAAACCACTGTTCTGATTGGCTGGAATTCAATCGCGCTTTAAAATAACATTTTAAGTGCGAATTAAAATACGGATAGGGTTTGGCGGTAATGGCTTCCATAAAATCTCGGGTCATATTTTCGCCGAAATCGGATCCAGACATGAAGCAGAAGAATGTGGCGCTCACCGTGCTCCGCACCAGTGTTGGTGTTGTTTGGCAGATGTGCTGTCCCTGTATACAAGCATATCCACGTGATGATCACTCGTGATAATTGATGTTAGAAGCCTTCCAGCACAATAATCATTTTTGCATTCAACTGTGTTAAGGCGTATGAAAATGTTTACCATGACTACTGAAATGAAAGAAAAGACAGGAGTGCGAGAAATAGACCACACCAAATCAAAAAAGAGAGAATGGACGAGAGAGAGAGAGAGGAGAGAGAGAGATAGAGGAGAGCAGAGGGACGACGAGAGAGAAAGAGACGAGAGTGTGGAACAGCAGAAAGACATCAGATCAGAGTCAGAGCGGAGACAAGATGAGACGAGAGAAGATGAGAGAGAGAGAGTGAGAAGAAGCAGGGAGAGAGAGAGAGACAGAGAGAGACGAGAGCAGAGGCGCGAGTAGACGTGAGAGGACAAGGACTCCGAGACAGAGATGGATGAGAGACGAAGAACAAGTGCCGCAGTGCGGACAGGGCTCATCTGGTGTTGGTGTTCTGTTCTGTAAATTATTTTGTGCAATGCAAGACGTCTTATGAGCATAGTCTTCTTTATTCTTGTTTGCTTTCGGTAGCAATTGATTCAAATATATCAGCTACACTTTACGCACCCCACCATATTCTCTTTGGCATTGCAGACACATGTGCCATTGCAAAGTTTTTTTTTTTTATTTATTTTTTAAATTTTCTTATTTTTTTCAGCATTACATCGACAAGATACAGTTAGTATATTAGTAAAAATACATTATACAATACATATTGGTGCGTAGTGCACTTCACCAGTAATCAATGTAGTAAATATAATACGGGCCTCTAACATAATGTGAAACGAATTATGGTTCTGGTTCCGTCCAGTTGTTGTTGTTTTTTTACCAGGTGTTAATGTCTCCAGTTCTATTCAACAAGCATTATTACAGTACATGTATTAAAAAAAAAGTGGTTTTACAGTATTTGCAGTCGTACAGGGAAATTCACATATACAGTTGCAATTGTAGGAATCGAATACATGGTAGTCATGATGAAGTACGCGAAAATATAACAAAAAGGCTGAATAATGACTATACTAGTTAATTGACGAAAAAAAAGACAAGGGTCTGCAGCGAGATCAAATATATGAGAGATCGGTATTATAGTGCATACAATTTTTGTAGTGGAATTGCAGGACAGGCTGGACCATTTACCTAGGAAGGGTTCATGGTTTTAAGCGTTGTGGGGGCATAATGTTTTTCATGTTCATTATATGTTCCTGGTATGTGCCTTCTACATTGCAAAAAGTTGGTAATTATTGTTTGGTTCTACATTTGTATATTACATATTTTGTAATTATTATTAGTTTGATTAAATTTATAGTATCGGGAGTGTAATTGAATCTCCTAGGATAATGTCATTTTCCTCTAAAATATTTAATCGTCCGGTAGAACACATGTTAACAAACCAAATGACATACATCCCTCCATACAGTTTTGACATTGGGTGCAGGCATAGCTATTAAAACACTCAAAGAGAGATTGGTTACACCCATAGAAACAATATACATATGCGTCTCAAGGACCTGCAGATGATATTTTTGCGGATAATTCGCTAAGCCAAGAAAAGACCATGACAATGCGAGTGGGAAGTGTACAAGCAGCACCCAGTGGTGACAGTTAACCATCAGCCTGCCGAGGATGTAGAAGAGTTCATGCATCTACCTTGGCAGTAAAATTTCGAACACTGGAGATGCAGAAGTTGATTTACGCTGCAGAATCGGCAAAGCGTTGGCTGAATTCCAACAAATGTGCCCAATCTAGTCTGCAGCATCAATCAATGATACAAGGAAAATACGTCTCTACGAAACAATTGTCCTGCCAACTGCAATCTATGCTAGTGAAACCTGGAAGTCCACTGCAAGAACTTCGCAAAAACTAAATGTGTTCTACCAGAGATGTCTACGAAGCATCCTCAAAATTACCTACCGAGACCGAATCAGAAACGAAGAAGTCCTGCGTAGAGCCAAATCCCAACCTCTGGCCGACATTGTCAAAATACGAAGACTTCGCTTTGCTGGGCATGTTCTGCGAATGTCAGAAGAACGACACCCAAGAACTGCCATGTACGGGGAACCAGCAAGGGGAAAAAGAAAACGTGGAAGACCCTGCAAAACCTGGCGGAGCACATTCAAAGAAGATCTACAGAACCTAGGCGTTTCTTGGAATGGAGTAGCAGTCGATCGAAAACGCTGGAGAACAGTTGTCGCCCAATGTTCTAATAGGAAGAGGAGGACCTAAGTCTAAGTTAAATTCAATAAAACGACCGATATACGCATCTATTGTGAATAAGACGGAACATGGTTATCGCTGGACTTTTAAAAGCTCACAATGCGCATCCAAACGCTAATTTCTGTAGTAACTTAAACGTAAAGAACTGTAGGTCCAAACATGTTACTAGGTTTAAACTAGTACTTTTTCTTTTTTTATCAACCAAGGGGGGTTACAGAAACCAAATAACCCCCCCTGGATACGGCCCTGCAAGTGACATTAGATAAGGGGCCATAATTGCAACGCGGAACAAGCAGCAGCTGTCCCGGTTCACACGAATTACCTATTTAAACCGATCGCCGCCGAACGTAGCCTTCATATCGATAGTCATGAGTATTCTTCTGCTTTTCGCTGTTATCCTGCTAGCGGGAGGCGCGAGAGCTGGCGACTGCCCCTCCGCCTCCAGCCTGTATCCTTGCACCTGCGCAGAGAATAGTTTTGGCGCGAACATCATCTGCGATTTTATTGACGTGTCGTGCGCGTGCGTTTGTCCGGGCGCCGCGGGCGTGGTGTGCAGTATCGTGCGTGCGTGCGTGCGCCGTGCGTGGCGTGCGTGGCGTGCGCTGCAAGCCGTGCTTTGAGTGAGTGGAATGTCATACGCACGTGCGTACTGTATTACCATTTA